GTTGATCGAAAGGTATTAACTTAGTTTTAAGTTGTTAATCTCTTTCTAGCTTTGGATTGTTGTTTTAAATAATGGAACTGTGTTGGGCTATATAATGTATAATATATAGATATATAATATATAATATATAGCTTAGGGCTGTATATTGCCCTAAGATCATTTTGGTGGTATTATCTAACCTGTATCCCAAATAATAAGACACAGACACCTTTTAGATTTTTAATTGCCTTATTTCATTTACTCTGTCAAAATCACCTCACCATCCATCTCCCAGATCCAATCCAATGCCATCCTCCCACTATCTTCCACCTATAATCTTATAAATATTTGCTTTTATTCTTCATTTGGGCCTTTTCACACCATTATTGGAGTCCTTCCTCCCAGCCTCACATGGTTTCTTCTTCAGGCTAACCCATCCTGGCGTCCTCCATCATCTTCTCTTCTCGTCTGTCTGTCCTCCATGATTCTCTCTTGTCCCCAAAAGCCCGGGAACCTTAATTATGTCTATCCATTCTTCTCTGCCCAAGTATAGACCATTTAGCAAACCAATTTGGTATAATGTTTTAGGGAGGTTTACACAAACAAGGATAGTGTATCTGGCCGACAGTAACCAGATCTTGACCAGTAGTTAGCATTAGACCAACCTCCAACAGTGGATAACACCCATTTGCTTTTCAGTATTATTGCTGGTTATCTAAGATGAAATAGCTGGCACTTTTGGAAGGTGGTATATTATCCTTCAGGATGTACATGAAGGTTCTCTATTTTCTTTTCTCTGGTATAGTAGGAATAAGTTGGTTTAAAATTATTTAAAACTGTGTCGTAGGCTCTGAAATGCTTTTTTTATTTAGCCTCTACTTTTTAAAAAAAGTCATTTTTCAAACTTTATAGTTTCTCTAAACTCTTAACTGAAGTCATGTCCTTTACAGCTTAATGGATTCATAGTACATGATTACACAACTTTAGACCCATTTTGTTAAATGAAGTGGTGACATTTTATGGACTATTAAGCCAACTAGAATAATTTTCTTGCTCTTAGCCATAACTTCTCTGTGTCCTTATTGAAAAATTTCTGGGGTGTGTTGTAGAAGGTTTTGACAGGAGGGAATGTTTCTAAAGATATGTGGAAACAGGGCCTTTTTTCCATTACTCCATCAAGAAAAATAAGACAGACAAAACTTGTGAAATGGGAAAATGGTTGAAATGCCCGTTTGTGCTATAATGCATTAAATTATCATTCGATTGGGAAAAGTGAATTTTAAAATTACTGCCTCATTCCTTTTTAAAATGTCTTACTAAATCATGAGTATGTGTGTATGTGTAAAATAAAACACAGGAACTATACTTTCAGCATTTCCTATTTTTTGCCATCTTAAGGAGTTGAAACAGCTCAGGATGGCAGTCTTTCTGTTTTTGTATAATACGAACATTTTTATTTTTGTTCCTATTTGCACAAAAAACTGCCTAAAATACAAAGTAGTTTGCTGAATGTTATGAGGTCGATCATAATATAAAAGTATGTTCTGTTCTATGGTGTATTGTTCTGGGCTTTTTGTGTGTTAGCTTTTGCCCACTCATTGCTATACAAATTTACTTTAATTGCCTAACTTTTTCCTCTTTGAAATTAAATTTTCTTATTATATATGAGTTACAGAAAATATAAAGAAGTAAAAAGAATATAAAAATTATTATTTTCTTCACCTGAGCTACTGCTGTTAATGTATTTGGGGTATTTTTTTTTCTAATTCTGTTTCTGTTAAAACAGCCCAGGCGTAAACCTTATTATAGCTAAATTTTTGTTTCTTTATTCAGTATTTTTTAAAATATTGGTTAACTGTGATATCAAGTTTTCTTTTAAATTTTTATTTTTACTCAGCATACAGAATAATGAGTTTCATTATGAAATTCTAATACACACATGTCACTGTACATGGCTTTTACTTGTTCTAGATCAACTTCTCTTCCCCGTGTTGCAGGTCCCTTTCCTTTTACCAAGCCGTTCTCCTGCTTTCAAATTTATAGACCTATACTCACATAACACATTTAAATTTAAATTATTCATATGATAAAAAATGTGATGTTTTTATTTGTCCCAATTACTGTACTCCCTTATGCTGTTGTCTTCCCACATAGTTCCCCTTCTACTTTATTTATATATTAAAGTGTATGTTTGAATATGTATTCTTCATTCAGTGTTGACTACATACATGTCAGCCAGCCAATCCATTTGGTATTGGGTTACAACTATGAATACACAATAGAGTTAATGATAAAATCGAATTTGTGTTCTAGTAGAAGCAGAAGTCAGTCAAATACTTGTCCTGCTAAACACACATACACACACATACACACACACTCTCTCTCTCTCGTTTCTGCCCCCTTCTTTTCTTCTCTTTCTTGGTTTTTTTTTTTTTCTTTTTTTCCCTTTTACCCCCTCTCCCTCTCTCGCTTCCTTCCCTTCTACCTTTCCTTCCTCTTTCCCTTCCGTCTTTCTTACTGGGCTTCCTGTATCTCAGACTGGGCACGGATTCTATGTAACCAAGGATGACTTTTAAAAGAAACATTTACTTACTTGCTTAATCAATCAGTCAGTCAATTAATTGGGGTTGTGCATGCTGTGATGCCTCTGTGAAGATCAATTTAAAAAGGTTGGTAGTTCTCTTTTAACTATGTGGATTCCAGGGATCAAACTTGGAAAGCTTAGCAGTTCTCCTATAACTGTGTGGACTTCAAGGATCAAAAACTTCATTAGGCTTGGTGGCAGTTTCTGACTGTAGTAGATACTCCCAAAGAACGGAATCATGATCTATGAGAGAAAACAGAAAAAGGATCCTGATTAGTGTTAGAGGTAACTTGCATAAATGCTTCTATGTTGCTTAAAGTGGTTAACTGGTTTGAGGGACAGGATAGCAATGCATTGTTAAGAGGTTTTCTAAACACAGATAACATAGTTATATGAAGACATGTTTAAGGAACTAAAAATAGACCAGTACCTATTGAACACTGAAAATTACAATAGTATAGAAGATGACTATATGAAAGGCCAAAGAGAGCCTTGTTTGCTATGTTGATAGACTTTATGCTTTGGTCCAAGAATGATAGGATACTGCTTAAGGGTTTTAAGCTAGATAAGGTATTTGATTGTAAGGTGAACATACTAGCTATGAGTGGATACAGGGAAATAAGTTAGGAGGCTATTACAGTGGGGCTTTTTTTGTGAGTTAATGATAACTTGGATTATATTAGTGATTAGAAATGGAAAGAAATTGACAGATTCAAGAGATTTTTCAGGTAAAATAGATCAAGTTGGAACACAGCATTTAGGTTATTTTTAGCCAGAGTTCTTAGAAGTGATATTTGGGCACGGAAAAGAGAATTATTTTATTCTTGCATTAGATATGAAATTGCTTTCCAAATATATTATTACAGGATTAATAATGTTCTTGATGCTCACCACTGTATACCCTTACCAGTCTTTTTTTCTAGACATTGAGCTAATAATTTATTTTTTAATTGGAATTGTTTTACCAACTATAAGAATACAGTATTTTTGGAAAATATGTATGTACTGATCTCCTTATTTTGATTTTAGAAAGTATGAATTTAGGGGGCTGGAGAAATAGCTTAGTGATAAAGAACACTTGATCTGCAAGCATGAAGACCTGAGATTGATTACAAGCATCCATGTATCCTCAGGCCAGCTTCTGTCCTATGGAGAGAAGAAAGAGGAGGCTTTCTGGATAATGCTAGCTGCCAGCCTGGAAGAAAAAAAAAATGTAAGCTCCAGGCTTACAGAGAGATGTTTCCTCCAAAAAATAAGGCAGGATTTAGACACCTTCCTCTGACCTCCACACATTGGTACACAAGCACACACACCCATGCATACATATGGGCATACAACACACAAACTAAACTATTAATTGATTCTTAAAATTCTACCGCTATAGCTGAAACCGAAATCAAAACCAAAGATTTAATCAGAATATTGTCTTAGTCTTAGAAACATATGAAAAAGATAATGTGAACTATATTTGGATCAGATTAAGAATAGGCAAAAATTGTCAACATTTTTAATAATCTCAAATTGCTACAATACAGTTAATAGAGAATCCTGCTTTCCTAAATGTAGTACTATAAATCTTCCATATGATGAATTTGGATTTAGGAATGCAAAATTCACTAAGAAGGTGGGATTATATAAATATTTTAAGACTTCTGTAATGTTAATAGTTAAAAAATATGAATGGTACATTTTCCATGCCACTACTGAATAACTCTTTTAGAAGTATGCAGATAATAATAGATGAAAGTAAAAAGTCGAAGAAATTTGAGTATAATTTTTGTGTGTGTGTATGTGTGAAGGAGGGTGCTGGCCTTGAACGTGCTCTTTAGCTAAGGATGACCTTGAGCTTCTAATCTTCTCGCTTCTACATCTTGAGTCCTGGGATTAAGAGTACAGGCATGGCCCACTATGCCCAGTTTTATGTGGTGATGAAAATCAAATCTACAATGTCTTCATGCTAGGCAAACACTCAACCAACTGAGCCATATCCCCAGTCCAGAAATGGGTAACATTTAAAAAAGAATTGAACATTTAAAAAGCAATTCCCTTTTCCCTCCAAAGTTTCTTGAATTTTAAAATACTGACCTTAGATTCAGGATAAAATTTATGTTTGTAATGTTTTCATGCATTTTTAAGATATTTATATAATTCTACATTATTAAAGATTGGTTATGGCTAGTGAAATTGCTCAATGGGTAAATGCATTTGCTGCCAAACTTGAGGACCTGATTTCAATTCCAGGGACCCACTTAGTAGAAATGAAGAACTGATTCTTGAAAATTATCTCCTGACCTCTACATGAACACTTGCCTTGTAGGCACAAGCCCTCCACATTTATGAATGAATATACTATAATAATTTCATTATAATATATTTTAAAAAATTGTTAATATTTGAAATGGTATTACTTACTGCATTGTTTTCTCTCTTTCAATAGTTAAAAGAAATTGAGACCAGAAAAATCATTAAAGCAATGCTTTCTTATGTGTGGCCCAAAGACAGGCCAGATCTACGAGCAAGAGTTGCCATCTCTCTGGGATTTTTGGCTGGTGCAAAGGTAAGGACATGCTTTGTTAAAAGACATTATAACTTTTTGTAGTGACAAACTCTGGGTTAGTTTAAACAAGTTACTGTCAATGAAACATGGTCAACTTTAAGGACTTTCATTTGTTTTGCAGAACTATTTCATTCATTTAACATAAATTGTGTAATATTGGGAAATACCTTTTCTAAATCAAAAGTCTAATAGTCTTAACTTAATGTTATTTACTCCTAAAACAAGTATATAAGATGCAAAACATTGGTTGTAAGAAAGCTTATGGAACTTTATAAAAAGTTTCTTAGAGCCTTGCTGGTGCTTATTTTAAACATGTTTTGGTAAGTTGAAAAGAAGACAAAGCACATCTCTAGCCATAGTGCCAAATAAGAGCTTAACTTCAAGAGGGAAAGGAAAAATTGAAAGAAAAATAAGGAGCCATAAAACTAGAGTGCTTTCAGTACTTTAAGTATAGCTTCCCTCAAGATATTTTAGAGTCCTCCCCTCAGTTTTAGATGTGTATGTACTTCTTTTGGTCTTTCCCCTGCCCTGATGAGAATGTATACAAAATCCTGTTTTGATATTCACTGTATGTTATTCAAATGGGAAAGTTAAAAGATTCATACAATCTGAAGAGAAATAAGAGTATAAGTATTCAAATCTAAATGGGCATGTCGATAAAGGAAATTTCTTCCCTCAAATCATACATGGGCAAGGCAATTTTATTTTATTACTATGAGACAAGATGGGTCAAAAATGAATTTTTAAAGTACCATTTTAGTACTTTTAAAGTACCATTTTAGTGTTGTGGGATTTAGAAGAAAGATAGGAATAACCATCATGGTAAGGAGTCAAGAAAGATTTTACAGAGGAGATTACATCGTTTATAGTCCTATAAAAGTCATATTTTTAGAGAAGTTGAGATAATTTGAACAATGGCCTAGTGAGAATGTATAGTATGTAGGGAGAAGTGCATAGTCCCTCTTGGCTCCATTGAAAGGGTAATGCTTCAGAGGAATTGAACTTTACCTTAAATCGATAAAGTTCCTAATAGAAAAACCTTCTCCATAAAGAAAGAAAACCACAGTGTGACAAATAAGAGCTTCAATATCAAGTAATCATTCTAATATGTTTAGTAATTAATCTGGTTCTTTTGTAGAAGATTGATTAAAGTAGTAAGAGATCTATCCTAGGGGTACCATCCGTCTATCCCATGCGTTTGTATGGCAAATATGTATCACCTAGTTTTGAGATGAATATAGTCTAGGTAAAAAGTAACAGCAGACTGTACTCAAGTCATGGTAGAAAAGTGATTATGAGAAAGAAGGATGTCAGGGATGTTGTGAGCTAGAATTACGATTTAGCAACAGATTGGATATTAGGAGGAAAATTCAAAGATGATGCCAGGAATTCAGGAATGATAATGTTTTAAACAGAAGTAGGTAATAAGTCAAATCTTACTTGTAGAATGAAGATATCCCTTTTGGATGTGTTGAGATGCTACCAGAACATCTAGATAGAGAGCCATGCATTTAGTGATGCAATTGCAAGGCAAGCTCAGGAGACAGCCCAGGGTTGGAGAAATAAAGAGATGATAGTCGAAAGATTACAAATTAAGGAGATTACCAGAAAAACACAACAACTAAAGAGAGAACCTTTGTTCCATACAGAAGTAAACGAAAGAAAAGCTAAATAATTGAAAAGATAAAGTAAAACTATAGCCAGACTCAACTTTCATAGCTTTCATATGTTGATGGCCCTCCCACTGAATGGGACGCATTCCTGAAGAGAGTATGGCCTTAAATTAAGCTATTGAGCAACAGATCATGAGTCTATACTTCACTGTATTTGTTTAAGATGAATAGAGAACAATATTAGATATTAATTTGGTAGCTAATGTTGACATTTTTAACTTTTATGTATACTTTAGCACAGTGTTGTTTGCTGGATTAGCTTTTACATACAAATGATTAAGGAGAAAGATAATTTTGAGTTCTTATTCAAGACAAAATTAGTGAGTTGGTCTTTATTTCCTTAGCTGAATATGAGTACCTTGTTAACAAGTAAAAGGCAGATGTTTTTTCTGGACTTGTGAATTGAAGAGGGCAGGTCAGAACATGACTAATTAGTCTAGCTAAAGGGAGGAGTCTTCAGTAATGATATTTACATTAGGATTTATTTTTGGAGTGAATTTCAGTCCTTCAAAAAAATACAGATTTTTGTTGCTTGGTGACAGGTCAATATTAAGGTAAGAAATCTAGCTAAGTTAACATTGTTAAAGATTAAAATATTTTTAGAATGCTAATACTTGATTCTTTGTTCAACAAATAGAACTTATAGAATGAAATTTGCTGTTCCAATTTCTTGCAAGCTAACTAGAAGTAAACAAAAATGTACAGGGAAAGTCTTAAAAGTATGTTTGATTCTTTTTAGATCTGGAAAAGGAACAGGTGGATGGAAATTATGAGTGCCTATAGAAAATACCATACATAAAAACACTTCTTTTTTTATTTGAACTTTTAAAATTGAAAATAGGTTTTTCTCTTATACAAGGCATTTCAACGACAATTTACCCTCTCTCCACTCCTCCCAACTCCTTCCCACCTACCCTCTCCCCAAGATCCACCCTTCCTCCATTTCCCTTCAGAAAAGAGCAGACCTCCAAGAGACAGCAAAACACAGCCAAACAAGACACAGTATGACAAGGCAAAAAGCTCTCAAATTGTGGCTGGTCCAGGCAATACAATAGGAGGAAAAGTCCCACAAGCAGGCAAAAAGAGTCAGAGGTACACTAGCTCCCACTATAAGGAGTCCCACAAAAACACCAAGCTAAACAACCATAACATATGCAGAGGACAGTAGCTGAAACCCATACAGGCTCCCTGACTATCTCAGCAGTCTCTGAGCCCTGCCTAGGTAATTCTGTGGGCTGTGTGTTCTTATGGTATCCTCCATCCCCTCTGACTCCCTTCTCATTTTCCACATCTCTAGCAGAGGGACCCAATGGAGACTCCCAATTTAGACACAGAACCCCAGTGTAATGTCTGGCCATGGGATCTTTCTGCATCTCTTCCCTCCGCTGCAAGAGGAAACCTCTCTGATGACTAGACAAGCCACCAATCAGAGAATATCATTAGGAATTATTTCATTGTGTTTTTCCAGTCATGTTTGGTTCCACCCTAGGTATCTGGTCTATCCAGTCTGGTTCCTAGCCTTCTATGCAGTGTAGGGAATGGATTCCTTCTTATGGGGTGGCCCTCAAGTTAAACTCCCATGTGTTCTGCACAAACATTGTCCCAGCATATCTTGCAGGCAGGACAGATTGTAGATGGAGTTGTTTGTTGCTGGGTTGGTGTCCAAGTTTCTCCTTCTGTAGCCTGCAGGGTACCTCTTATACAAAAGGCCCTTGAATAGAGGGGTGAAGGCTTCATGCAGACACCAGTTATGACCTATCAACTTTCAATAACCTCTCTATGTTCAGTGAGCTGAGGGGAAGTTGTCCTCCAACATGGTAGGTACCCCCACTGTCAATTTTCGGAGAGCTACCTTTTGTCCTAGCATCAGCTTGGGATGTTTAGAGATCTCCATGGGACTCCCTTGGACAACAACTCAATCAAATGTAACCCAGTCCCACCACTGGAAGCCTTGCCTGGCTATAAAAAAATGTCCAGTTCAGACTCTGCATCCTCCATTATTCCTCACTAGGGCCACCCTCATCGATTCCAGGAAGTTTCCACTACACTAGGTTTCCACAATGCCACCAGATGTCCCACAGCTCCCACTGTCTCTCTTTACACATACTCTCACTGTCCCCTCTATCTGCTCCTGTCTCCAGCTGGCCCCCAGTCTACCTTCAGAATCTATTCTATTTCCCCTTCCCAGGGAGATCTATGCTTCTCCCCTATAGCCTTCCTATTTACCTAACCTCTCTGGGTCTGTGGATTATAGAATGATTATAATTTACTTAACAGCTAATCTCCACTTGTGAGTACATACCATGTTTGTCTTTCTGGGCCTGGGTTACCTCACTCAGGATGATTTTTTATAGTTTTATCCATTTACCTGTTAATTTCATGATGTCTTTTTTTTTTTTTTTTTTTTTTTTTTTTTTTTTTTTTTTTTTTTTTTTAGCAGCTGTGTAATGCTTCATTGGAGAAAATACACCATATTTTCTTTATCTGTTTTCTGCTGTGAGGCACATCTGAGTTGTTTCTAGTTTCTGGCTATTACCAATAAAGCATCAGTGCACATAACTGAGCAAGTGTCCTTGTGGTAGGATGGAGTATCCTTTGGGTATATGCCCAGGTGTGGTATATTCCCCACTTCCTGAGAAACCACCATATTGATTTCCATAATGGCTGTATATGTTTACACTCCCACCAGCAATGGAGGAGTGTTTCCCTTGCTTCTCATCCTCGCCATCATAAGCTGTCACTTGAAAAAAAATGCTTTTCTTTTTTTTTCCCATTTATTTATTTATTTATTTATTTATTTATTTATTTATTTTTTGATTATTACAATTTATTTACTTTGTGTCCATCTGTAGCCTGCTCCCTCTTCCTCTCCCAAGCCCTCGCTCCCTCCCTCTTCTCTTCCTATGTCCCACACTCAGTCCACTGATAGGGGAGGTAGCCCTTTCCTTCTATCTGACCCTAGCCTATCAGGTCTCATTCCTCAATATCGATATTATGGCTTCAGCCACCCCCTACACTCACCAGTTTTGAGGTTTCGGATCTTCTGCCCCTCAGATATGGTGCATGCTGGTCGCCACCATCTTGGATGCTTTTCTTTTTGTGAGGAGTAATTTGAGGCATTAAAGCATGGTAGTATCAATAACCATTCTAGACAACACTTCCAGTTTCTAAAAATGACTAATCTTAAAATTTCTTTAAAAATGATTTCTTTCCTTCTTAGCATTAGTATACTTGTTTTGTAGTTTATTTACAAAGATTAATTGTTGTATTTTTCATCTCATGATTATTTTTCTTCAAAATGGACTATATATTTTGAGTTATGAATAC